CCACCCGCCATTATTAACAATCACCACCCACCACCATCATCCCCAACTATAATCGCTATCGCTACCAATCACTACTAGTTACTACCAGAACCACTACCATCAACTAAAATCACCACCAACCACCGTCTCTACTCGGCACTCACAAGCACCTTCGTTAGCTCTCTCTCCTCTCTCCTCTCTCTCCTCCTCCCTTCTCTCTCTCTCTCTATATATATATATATATATATATATATATATTATATATATATATATAATATATATATATATAATATTATTTTTAAAAATTTTAATTTATATTTATTAAGTGGGGACGCAAGCGCTATGTGGACCACGAGTGCGCAGTGCATTAGGGAAGCCGCGGGTGAGGTATTAGGGGTCTCAAAGGTACTCTGGTGGTCACAAGGGAGACTGGTGGTGGAATGGAGAGGTGCAAGGAAAAGTGGGACCAAGAAATCAGCGTATCTGAAGCTAGTAGAAAGTTTAGACGAGGAGGAGAAGAGGGCGGATAGGGAGCATTATAAGTTGGCTAAGAAAGAGGCAAAACTAGCAGTTACGGCGGCCAAGAATGCAGCTTTTAGTTGTTTGTATGAGGAAATCGAGGGCCGACGTGGGGATAAGAGGTTGTTCAGGTTAGCCAAGGCGGGAGAAAGAAAGGCGCGTGACTTGGACCAAGTCAAGTACATCAAGGACGAAGAAGGTAGAGTTTTGTTGATGAGGGGCTTATCCGTCGGAGATGGCAGACCTACTTCCATAGTCTCTTGAACGAGGAGGGGGACAAGAGCATTGTTCTGGGTAATTTGGAACTCTCCGGGAGTCATTGTGACTTTGGGTATTGTTAGCGGATTAGAGTTGATGAAGTTGAGGGAGCTATTGCGGAAGATGAGTAGGGGCAAAACGACCGAGCCAGATGAAATCCCAGTGGAGTTTTGGAAGAGTGCGGGCAAGCCTGGCTTGGAGTGACTCACTAGGTTATTTAATGTCATTTTTAGAATGAAGAAGATGCCCGAAAAGTAGAGGTGGAGCACGATGGTTCCTGTATACAAGAACAAAGGTGATATCCAAAATTGCAATAACTAACAGGGTATCAAGCTGCTTAGCCATACTATGAAAGTCTGGGAGAGAGTGGTAAAGCTAAGGATGAGGAAGAGGGTGTCTATTTCCGAGAACCAGTTTGAGTTTTGTGACGGGGCGTCCGACTACAGTAGCCATCCACCTTGTTAGGAGATTGATGGCGCAGTATAGGGAGAGAAAGGAGGACTTGCATATGGTGTTCATCGACTTAGAAAAGGCGTACGATAAATTTCCGAGGGAGGTTTTGTGGAGATGTTTGGAGGCTAGAGGTGTACCTCTTGCCTATATTAAGCTGATTAAGGACATGTATGATGGAGTAAAGACCTGAATAAGGACAGTGGGTAGGGACTCGGAACATTTTCCGGTTATGATGGGATTGCATCAAGGGTCGGCACTTAGCCCTTTTTTGTTTGCTCTGGTGATAGACGTACTGACGCGCCATATCCAAGGGAAGGTGCCGTGGTGCACGCTATTTGTAGATGATATTGCATTGATTGGCGAGATGTGATAAGGCGCGAACGCGCAATTAGAGGTATGGAGGCAGACCCTGGAGTCTAAAGGTTTTAAGTTGAGCAGGACCAAGACAGAATACTTGGTGTGTAAGTTCAGTGGCAAGACTCAAGGGGGGAAGGGGAGGTGAGGCTGGACTCGCAGGTCAGAGGGAGTTTTAAGTACCTTGGGTCTATTATTCAGGGGGATGGGGAGATTAATGAAGATGTCACACATCGTATTGGGGCGGGATGGATGAAATGGAGGCTCGCTTCTGGTGTTTTATGTGACAAGAAGGTGCCACCGAAACTTAAGGGTAAGTTCTACAGAGTGGTAGTCAGACCAACGTTGTTGTATGGGGCTGACTGTTGGCCAGTCAAGATCGCTCATGTCCAGAATATGAAGATAGCAGAGATGAGGATATTGAGATGGATGTGCGGGCACACCAGGTTAGATAGGATCATAAATGAGGTTATTCGCGACAAGGTGGGCGTGGCTCCTATAGAGGATAAGATGCGGGAAGCGCGGCTTAGGTGGTTTAGTCATGTGAGTTGGAGGAGCACAGATGCCCCTGTGAAGACAGTGGGAAGGTGTGAGAGGTTGACATTGGAGGGCTTACGGAGAGGTAGAGGTAGGCCAAAGAAAAGGTAGGGAGAGGTGATTAGGCAAGACATGGCGCAGCTTCAGTTGACCGAGGATTAGGGTAGTAGAGTATGTAATCTAGAGTGTTCATAATAGTAGTATTGGCACACAATCTTGCTTTGTGTGGGCAGTAGGTTTTAATGACTAACCGTTGTTTTCTTTCATTATGGATTACCTTATTACCTTATTGTTTTTATTCTGCTTTTATATGGCTTTTTGGTACTGTGCCTTCTTGTCTATATTTTCATTAGTGTGGTGCTTATGCTTTCCTGAGCCGAGGGTCTATTGGAAACAACCTCTCTATCCTTACAAGGTAGGCGTAAGGTCTGCGTACACACTACCCTCCCCAGACCCCACAGTGTGGAATAAGACTGGGTATGTTGTTGTTGTTGTTGTATTTAAACTTATGTTTATTAATTTTTAAATAAAGATAAATTCTATATATTCAGATGTTTAAAAAACAAACAGTTGTTTACCTGTAAAACGGTACAGTTGAATTTATACGTGGTTTCTAGACAAGTGAATTAATTTGATCC